GTCTTTGGTTCGTGTCAAAAATGACAGGATCCAAGGGCAGTAGGACCCAGGGGAAGCCCGGCAGGCTCCAGCAACAGCAGAGTCCGCCTGGCCCCGCCCTCCCAGCCAGAAGCCCCAGTAGGGGCTTCAGGCCTGGGACCATAAGATTGCACCGCACCAGAAACTCAGGTAAGGGTGGGGAGAATGGGGGAGGACCCCAGGGAGGGAAGGAGCCCGGGGAAAAGCAGCCCCTCCCACACCCCATGGCTTGCACTCCCTGCTGCAGCCACTCGCAGCCCACACGGGACTGTTCTGAGCAGGCACAGGCAGCCCCACGTGAGCTGCGAGCAGCTGCAGTGCAGGGCACCAGCCACAGGGCGGGTGAGGGGCTGCTTTTCCCCACCTGTACTGCAGGACTGGGGGGCACTGGGAGTGAGCGGGAGCGCGGGGCACACACTGGTGTTCCAGGGCCAGTGCCGGCGGGGCCCAGAGCAGGGCAGCAGGGGTACAGAGTCCTGGCTGGCAGGGGCTCTATGGAGCCGGACCAGCTCCCCCGTCTCCCTGCTAGTGCCCCCCAGCCTGGCTCCATAGATCTCTGCCAGCCAGCATTCTGCTCTGGGTCCCACTGGTGCTGGCCCCGAGACATTGGTCCCAAGATGGTGACCAGGGGGTGGGGCACCTGTCAAGGGGCAGGGCACCTGTTAAGGGGTGGGGCTACCCATGCAGCCCTCAACAGCTTGCCAAAACTGGGTAAGCATCCATCTGCCCAAAATATTGCCCAACCCTGGTTTATACTATACATCTCTGAAATAATTAGTCTATAAAAAGGTACAAATTTAACCTGCCTTTAGTCAAAGCTCTTGGAACATTGGAAGAAAGAAGACAAACAGGGAGCTTTTTGATTCTGTACACTGGAGGTGCATCTTCAAGAATTCTACAAGCATCTATAGCATAGCTTTTGAATGTGATGGTTCAGGCTTGGAAAGAGCAGGAAGACAATTTCACAGAAAATTTAGAACGAAGAGTTCACTTTTGGAAAAAAAAATCCAGAATCCTTAGTACCAGATTATGATGAAACATGATGTAGTTTTTCCATGGACAGAACCACCAACATTGAGATGTATTTATCAGATGCTATATGACTGTGAAACAAATGTTAATGGATAGACATACTTGTGCGACCAATGGCAGTGGCTCAAAAACATGGGTCGGTTAGGGTATTCAGCCTCTATGAAAGGTTCCATTCAGGAATGGGTAGTCTGATTACACATCTATAGTCTGCTCTGCTTGCAACTTGAGCATTTTGGGTCTGAGCCTCCAAAGATTCCATGTGAAGATGCTATTCATGACTGATCAAGTGGGCTTTGGTGCTAGGCCCAGATATCTGCTTCCCCAAAGCAGCACACTGACTGCTTTGCATTCTTACAAACAGGTAAGCTGTATGGAGGCCATATATTTGAGAAATCAAGCTGAAGTTTTGTTGATCTGCTTACCATTCTTAGTCACTGGCTGAATGTCTGCTGAGCCACTGGGCAGTTCCCATTTAAGTACATCGCTATTGTCAAAGACAGAACTACTGAAAAGAGGCAGACAAGATCATCGGTATTCCCTTGCAGTCGAAGATAACTGTCTGCCATGATGGTCTTATCTGTGGGTCTAAAGATGGCTAATGAGGCCTATCTAGGATCAAAAGACATTGCTGCAGCTCAGACACAGGTTTCCATGTGGGGTGGGAGGCTCCAGGTTCTTGGAGATAAAAACTTAATGCTTAAATGGAGGTCTGATCTCTGAGTTCCCCCGAATAGTTGAGATAGGCCTTGACAGTATTGTTTTCTGATCCAGTCTGACCAGTGCTGCCCCTGAGGAGCACCTCCATTTTAAGAGATTTACCACTCAGAGCTCTAAAACAGACTTAAGCTCTGGTCCTCTTCTACAAAGTTAAGTTCCCTGCACTGTCCTATATAGTTTCTGGCAACTACTAGGTGGCTGATAATCCTATCCATGAAAGAGCATGGGACTGCAAGGGTCCTCCTAGATCACTTGACTCCAGGCCCCTGCTATCAAAGGAAACAAAGAGAAAGGGGGATTATAATTTGAATTAAAAAGCAAAGGTCAAAAGAGCAGATCAGGAGCAAAACTAGCTGATACTACACAGGCATAAAATCTGGCAATGAGTTGGATACGGTGGTGGCCAAAATAGGCAAGGTCACCATGCTGAATGGCCTCTAGAACTGCAGAGAGGAGGTGAACAAGTTGTTGTGTGAGAGATGCTGGACTATCAAATTGAGGAAACTAGGACTGAAGTTGAGAATCTAAGATTTAGTTCCTTTCCAGCTCCCAAGAAATTAGTTAGCATATCTTCACATCAAGCCTCCTACTGATAATGTCTTCTTCATCTAAAGGCTTTTCTTCCTTTGCATAATCAAGATGACAAAAAATCCTTAACCTGATTATCACCAAAAACATTTTAAAAAGCCAACCAAAAATTCAAGTACTTTAAACTAATGGTAAGCAATAAATGGAATAAGAGCCTTTTAAGCATTTGCACAAATCATATACTTCTCTTGGTGGAAAAAATACAGCCTCAAGGCTGTCCAACTGGTGGCCCCCAGACTGCACCTAGCCCACAAGAGGTTAATATGAAGTCTGTCACTTCCCTCTTTGCTCCTGCAACAGCTGGGGTCCCTGGGGCAAAGCAACACAGTAGGATGGGACCCAACAAGACTACCTGCATGGCAGTATCAGTGGGGCAGAGGTCAGGTGGCACAGGGGAGGATTCATGTTGCAGCAGCAGAATGGAGGCTAGGGAAACTCGCACAGCAGTGACCTGGGTGGGAGAGAGTTGGTGTAGGAAAGGAGACTTATACTGCCCAAGTGGGGACATGGTGGCAAGGCTTGCCATACCTGCATGTCAAGGGAGGTGCATGTGGTAGGGGGACCCAGTGAGCCTATTTACTGTGTGACCCCTGTGGCATGTAACCTACATGGTAACGAGCCATGGCCTGCAACTGATGCAGTACATGGTCCCCAGCTGTGAAGTTGGATAGCCCCGACCTATACCATGAGATGTGCCAGCCAAGATTTTTTTTTTTTTTTTTTTTAAATCGGAACATTGATTAGAGACATCCTGATTGGATAAATCTTCAGAGAGCACTCATAAGCATGTCTTTTTATGATTTCCATAGCTAAAAAGGGAAGATGTAGAAAAGGTATATACAATTATTAAAACAAACAAAGAATAAACATAGTAATTGTTCTGATTTTTAACACGCCTTAATCTTGTGGACTAGCACAAGTATTCCATACAGCCCTTCATTTCCTTGTGGCATCCATAGAGCAAACTAAAGTTTATTATTTGTAGCTACACTTCTTCTTCTATAATAAACTGCAGTGAAATTTCTTCTGTAAATTTGAAGCAGTTTAAGAGAGTGGCTAAGTGTTTATTCCAACTTATATTGGCTCCTTTCCCCCTACAGATAAAATACATTTATTATACACTTGGCAGAAAAATGTAAAATATGATTGACATATCAGTAAATCCAGACACAAACCAGGAGTTGCACTTAACAGAACACTAATCAAAGCAGCCTGGCAACTTTGGCTACATTTTAAGAATGTGGAATTCTAGAAATTCAATTTTAGTGCCATATCTATTCAATATCTGAAAGAAGATAGCCTATAACTCTCGATGTACAGTTATATTTGCTTTTAAAAAGCTACAAAAAAAAGCAAAATTTTCATTAGAACTTGCAAAATATTAAGTATTAACTATATGTATAAGTGTTCCTATGAAATCCTTTTGCTAATACACTTTTGGTTCACTAACACAAGCATGAGCTGTACTGTGACTGCCAGTACTTACATCATCTTCTGGGAATCTCTTCAGTGAATTAGGAAGTTTGAATATATTAAAGAGGAATAAATCATGAATATTCGTTACATCCTACTGGTTTATTAATGCACCTCACAGCTTGGTTGGTGAGGAAATGCAATACATACATTTCTGCTAATTCAAACTGTATTCTGGCTGTGCAGTTCCATTAACAGGAACTGCTACATGATCAGTCTAGAATTGGAAAAGAAGCCTAATATTAATAGACTCAAGGAAAAAGCATATACTAAAATGATGAACTCTTCATAGAAACATTTACAAAGGACAAGTGGCATATTTAAAGAACATTTCACCTACACCTAATGAAGTCATCATCTCTTTCGAAGCAGAAAAATAAATCAATATTTCCCCCAAATTATATCAGTTGCTGAGCATGTATATAAAGATCTATATGATCTAAACCCTATCATCTCTCTTGCAGTAAATACTTAATTTTCCTTTTATTGTTAGGTAAAATGATTAATGGAAGTAATAATGTTGTTTCTGGTTGAATCTCTGATTCATAATTGGAAATTAACTCTATGTAATAAGTATGTGTAATATCAATGTGACTGTTCAAAAAAAGTTTATCTATCTAAATTCAACAAATGATAAGCAGGCAGTGCTACGCTACTCCAAAATCCAGGCAAGTTTCATAGAATACTCATCTAGTTACATTTTTCAAATGTTATTTAAAAGATTTTTGTGAGGAACAAGGTTGATGAATGTCAAATGCCTTCAACCATGAAAAAAAAAGCATAGGCCTTTTGTGCAATTTTATTTTTACAGATCTATTATAAAATATTAACAGAATGTTTTGTTTGCACCGATTGGTTAATCAATGAGTTCTCTCACACAGCCACACATGTTCAGAGCTTTCAGTAATTCCCAGCTTCACAGTGTTCATTTTATGACATCTATTTTGACAGAAAAACATTTACAGTCACTTGTACTTTGTGCAAAATGTACATACATGTATACATGTCTTTGTACATGAATGTCTACATAAAACAAGGTCCTTTCCAGTTTCCTATTCTGCAATAACACTGCAGTCATGAATTAAATACTGCCTTCTAAAGTTCTTTTATATGTGCTTGCTATGTCAGGGTTGATGTAAAAGCATATCAGAATTTAAATAAGTATTTATTACCTCCAACCTTTGGCCCACCAGCTGAGCCTGGTTTTCTTGCACTGTTTGTAGGATTTCCAGGCTTCTTAGGTGCAGGAACCTTGAAGGCTGAAGCAGCTGACGATGGCCTATTTCCATCCACTGACTCTTCATCATCAAAGCTTTTATCTAGAAACAATACAATAAGAAAAGATGTACTTATTACAAGATATTTACGGGGAGGGGCATTTTTTGGGGTGTTTTTTTTTTTTAATTGATTTTTTTAAAAATTTTTAAATCACTTTTCAAAGAAATTTACTAAAAGATAAAATAAAAAATAATGGTAATTATTTGGTCCTTTGTCTAGGGCCTTGCAGTAGGATGACAATTAAAACATGCTAGATATAAAATCTTGTGTTAAGTGTTAGCTTCAGCTTTGCAATTCATCACTGTAAAACTGAACATTCAAAAAACGGATGTTGCACATTCCATGTAACAAAAATGAAAATATCTATACAGGTTAAATATTTCTTCCCCTTCTCTGGATCATTTTTTTCCAGAAATGAAGCCCTTGATACAATTTTCAGTCATTCCAGGCAATCAAAGAAAAACGCTTCTCCTTTTTCTTCTACTCATGCATGCATTTTCTCTTACATATCCTCCCACAATGTGTCTACCAACACTCCCTTGCCTCATTCCTTCCACCCAGATTTTGCAACTTACAATCACAGATCCGCTTGCAGATCAGCCGCCTCATTCCTCTGATAGCTCTTAATTCCCCTCACATCAGGATGCTCCCAATACCTCACATGGCCACATACAGGAGATTCTCAATACTAATTAAAAATTCTATCAAAAACTGACTGAAAACACCATAGATCCACCACTGAGATTTGTGCCGGCATCTTTCTCTTCCCTGCACTAGGTGCTGAAACAACCAATCAGCTTCAAGGTGACATCATCTTCTGATAGCCACTGCCAGATGAAAAGGTGGAAATTCTTCACGCATATAAATTCATTCTCACACTCAATATCTGCATCCATAATTTCAATCCTTCATTTAAAATTTCACAGGAAAATAGGGCTTTTGGGTTTCTGCTCCCTTTTTCTCTCATTTTATTTAGTCAAGTAAAAACAAATCAAACAAACAGGAAAAGAACCGCCCTTATCTCCAAGCTATTAGTTAAAATATCCTCAAACATGAATATTCTGCACTTGGTTTTTAAATTGATAGGATTCCAAAAACAGAATGTGACTATTTGGCAAAACATTGGTATAAAAAGGTGAATCTCTTTAGTAGCCTAAGTATTAGACAATCAATCTGTGGTTCATACAATAAACAAGATGGGTGAGGCTGACAGCTGCATTACAGTGATACAGATCAATTTAGCACATTTTCCTTCACTGGAACCTGCCCTTTTAAAAAATAAAAAACACAACACTATCCCAGGAATTCTGGCTATTTGCTTAACCCTGGACTTATGAATAAATTGCTCCCAATGAAATACTGCCTATTTTTAACAAGATAACCTCCTAAAGGGAAACGGCAACCACTAACTATTATGTTAAAGCAAAGCACGTTTTCCCAAATTGTATATAGAGGAACATCAGCTGCTTAAAAAAGAAGAGAAGAAAACATTTTGGTTCACTTCAATTTCCTAATGGAAGACTTGAGAAATATGTTTGTTTAATCAACACTGCATAACGTGATTAGAAAGCTGTCTGCCTTACAGTAAAACCTCAACTGAAAAAAATCAAAATGCATATCTGAAATTTCTCTTCAATGTGCTTATTTCCTTGAAACCACCATTTTAAAGGGAATGTTACCAAGAATATTTGTGTGTGGATCTGTAAACTCTAAGAACGCAGAGAGAAGGCACTGAAAACCACACACTATTACATGAGTTTCCATGGAGACAGTAGTCTGTCCTCACACTGGAGCTGTGAGAATACATTTCAGTTCTCACCAAGTTAACTCTTAATGTCTTGTAGATGTAATCAGATGTCTGCGTTTTTTTTAAATGGTGAAATCCATTAATTTAAAACACAAGATTAAGTTTAATAAGCTTATTTTTGCATAAAATGTATATCAGTAGCAGTGGTTAACACCCAGAACTCTGCCTCACTGAAACGTTACAGGTTATTTTAACATAATATGAGGAGAGGCTGCAGATGAAGATGGTTTTTCATCTTCTTTTTAAAATAAAAATGATTAGATTAAAAACCTAAGATATCTTCAACTATTGCATAAGAAATAGCTGAACTATTAAAACATATCTAATTTAGTTTTCACTATTAGCACACGCTTTTCACTTTTTTCAGCTTTGACAAGCAGATTAGACTTTCGCACTGTTATCCAGTAGCACATTACTACAGCTTTTGAGTTGCAAGTATTATACCAGAAGCCTATTCTTATTAAAAATTAAACTGTTTCTATTTCTAGTACAATTAAAAGGTAATAATAAGATTTCTTTCAGAATGTTAAACAGAGTTCTTATTTTTTTAAAATGGGACTGGGAATGCCAGTAATTCCCAAAATGATTGGGAAACTAATAATTCAGATGAACTTTAAGCACCGATTAAACTAGTCGTTCTTAAAAGGGGGTTAAGCAGGTATGCACATTCTGCTGTGTTAAAGAGAGTCAGCATAGTGCAGTTATTTTGTTAGCTTTTTGCTTATTAAGTCTACAGCCACACACACAGCTGCAGCCTTCATGATTTTTTTAATTGCTTCAATTAATTTGGATCTTCTCTCTCTCAGAATTAAAACATTAATCATTCCTATTCTTTAAAAAAGATGTAGCACAATATATTTAAACATCCCTGGACAGCATAAACACTACATTTTGAATGTGGGTTTTGGGGGAGAACTGTTTTGGTTTTTTTGTTCGTTTGTTCTTGGTTTAAAGTCAAAGAAAGCATTTCATATTAGAAATCCAGGCTACAAAAGTTTCATATAAACATACATTCTACACTCAGTAATATGCATCCTCTTGTTTCTTTCAGCATTATTGATTTTATTCCAAAACTACATTAAACTGAAGGCATTTCAAAAGAATGGTCAGCTTTCCACTAAAAGTCAATCCAAATCAGTGTACAGCCAGCCAAATATATAAATGTAACAGTTTAATTTTGAAATCTTAAATTTAATGCCCAGTTGTTATAAGGATCGACAATTTCTCCCCTCCTTTTTGTGCTTTCTTGTTTTTACTTCCCCAGGCTTAACAACAGAGCTTCAATTGATCTTCAGGGACATTCCAATTCCAGAAGGATGCACAATAGCATCTCCATGCATCTGAAGCGTCAAACCTATGCTTACAAAAACTAAAATAAACTATAATTTGAGCAATATATTTACTTCCAGTACCATGCAAAATCTACTTCTTTTCATATCAATATCAACGAGCATTTATATGAATATCTCGTGGATACAAATGTACCTCCACATATCTGTGTAGAACTTCAAATTTAGGCATAATTAGTATTCTGTAAAAAAGGCACAATTCCATTATGACCAACTGAATTGAGCCTACTCCAGACTTTTAGTAATCTCCAATTCTGTGTATAGCTGATGCTCTGCATTTGGTCAGTTTGAGCTTAGTGATGGCAGAATCATGTCTATGTATGCTGTTTATAAATTAGTTTTTTTATTTTCCACTTTTAAATTTACTCCAAAACATTTCTTTACACAGAAAACCTTTCGATGGTAGGGGAAAAGCTGAAAGTTATTTGTTTTAAATTAAATTGTTTGAAATTTACCTCAAAAAATGCAAACTCTATTTTTCAGTCCTAGATGATCTGGCAACACAACTTTTATTCTTAGATTAACTGACAACACAAGTTTCACACATCAGATTTTACACACACAAAATTCAATTTGGAAATGTTCTCTCAGTTCCACAGAAAATTACAAATTGATGAAAAAAACTACATAAAACAGATCCAGTTTTAATTACAGCCTAATCCAAACTTAATGTATGTAAATTATAATTAAGTTTTCCTTTTTAAAAAAATGAAATGGCTTAAAATGAAATTTGAATTTTATACAGCATAGACTAAAGTATAAATTTAGTATAATCTATTAAAATAATTTAAATAAAATAAATAGAGTCAATGAGATTCTACTAAAAACTCTGGAGTTAAAGGCTGATTTTCTTCTATATAAAAACAAGGGGGAAAACATCTAACTTTTGAGGTCAAGCTTAAAAACATGGCACTATTTCATGTATTAAGGATGTGACCCTGTAGGGATGCAGGGTCTATACTACTGGATGCAAAGAATCAAAGACATCATAGATATTGGAACCTAATGCCACAAACGTAGCACAGATGAGAAGAAACTTAGAAGAAGCTAATGAAACAAACCTGAAACTTATAACGTATGGGTGCAGCACTCAGTTGATGCATCTTTTAGCCAAACATTTCAGTATTGTACAGCAGGGAAAATGGAAAATGCTGACATTGAAAAACTTGCATAACAACCAGTTTGCTTTAGCATCAGTGAAGACAGCTGAGGGATCCAAGCTAATTCTTCCCCAATATAGACGATGGAATTCAATGGTTGACTGCTCTGAGCTATTTACTAAGAACTGGCCTATTCTTATGACCATCTGTGAAGAAAACCGTGACAGAGTCGATGGAAGTATCATAGGTAGAGTAGTCAACACTGGACTAAAGAGAAATGCAGTAAATATGGTAAATACACTAAAATGTATTTTCACAGCCTTGGACAAACTAAAGAAAAATTGCTGCGGTACTGTGTATGCTGTTGACATTTGGAATGAACTTCAAGAAATATTACAGCAAGAAATATCCAACAACAAAGGTTTACTACAGGCAGTAAAGAAGCAGATGAATCAAGCTCTTACTCCATCTCATTTTCTTGCCAATACTCTTAACACAAAATACCAGGGTAGATTCCTAATGGTCGTAGAGGAAAATACTCCTATGATCTGGGGATCTACTAATGACCCATCAATCATGCCAACCATAAAAAATGTCAAGGCTACAGGTGGACCATTCAAGTGGGACATCTTTGCTAAGGATGTTTTGAAGAGTCACACCACTGAACTGGTGGAAGTCACTAGCAAGGCATATGCAACTAAAGTTTATTGAAGTCCTAAATCAGCTTTTGTCAGGAGTAGCCTTTTTTGCAGATGCCAAAAGAAGATTTCTTAATTTGGACTGAT